TGCCTCGCAGCAGCGCGGGCCAGCAGCGGCCGGGCCTCGACGGGGCCCGGGCTCCCGTGGGGAGCAGGCCGGGCGGGCTAGCAGGCCGGCCGCGTCCCCGCCATGGAGGGCATGGACGTGGACCTGGACCCCGAGCTGATGCAGAAGTTCAGCTGCCTGGGCACCACCGACAAGGACGTGCTCATCTCCGAGTTTCAGCGGCTCCTCGGCTTCCAGCTCAACCCGGCCGGCTGCGCCTTCTTCCTGGACATGACCAACTGGTGAGCCGGCGGGGCTGGCCGCGAGGCCCGGAAGGACGGGACGGGACGGCGGGGCAGGGCCGGGCGGGGCCGGGCAGCGTGGGAACCCAGCGGGAGCATAGAGGAGGGAGCATTGAAAAGGGAGCATTACGGATTGGGGCATGTTGGAGAAATAAGGATACACCGGCTGCGGATGACGGATTGGGCTTGGCAACTCTAGGGGAGGGTGGTTAGGTGTTCTGGACAAACCTGGGGCTTGAGCTGATGATCATATACGTGGTGTCTGTCGCCATCCCCGAGGAGGGAAAGGGAAAAGGCTTTTTTTTGGGGAGGGGAGGCAAATGGTGATCAAATGGTTCTGGTAATCACATGATTCTGGTGATCAAATGATTCTGGTGATAGGGTTGCTTTGAGGAAGAGTTGTGCCAGGGAAGAGGTAAGGTCTGCCCAATAGAGTGTCAGACCTGGGACAAGACCTTGGAAAAGTTTTAAGGAAAGTGGAGGCGCTTGGGGGCGGGAACTTGACAATCTGAACGATACAGGGCAGGAAAACCTTTGGGGAGAACCGAGGACAGGACTTAGGCTGGGAACCAAGTGGTTTTTGGCTTGTAGTTGAGCTGTACAGACCAATGTGGGGCACAAGACTCCTCCATAAAGGAATTTATTTCCATGTGTCTGCAGCCTTGTCAAGCAAGATTTCCCTCCTGTTCACCAAGTAGGGTTTGTTGAGTTCACTCAGGTGAGGGAGGAACTGTGGAGACCATTAGACTGCCTTCACGTGAAGCAACCAATCGGAATTTGGGTGAAAATCGATGGACAATGCCCTTTGCTCTGCCTTGGGCGTTTGGTCCCCGACATGTGCAATCAATTTTCTCTTGGCATCCCTTACACAATCAAACTCCCTCTTATTTCCATGTCTGCCAAATCAAGCAGTGTAAAAGAGACGCTGTAGGCCTAGATTTTCACCCCTCTCCTCACCTAGCCCCATCCCACATGATGCTTGTCTATAGATGAGAACTAAGGGTAATGTGCACGTTTTTATTATTTGATCTTTAAAGCCAGTCACTACAGCAAGAGTGGGACTGAATTTTCATGGTTTAGGGAACTGAGGCATTAAATGCAGGGTACAGTCTTGAGAGTTAATAAGTTGTTTGAGCTCCCACATGTATCTTTTAAAAACACTCCTTTGAAAGGTTTTTATTTATTATTATTCTTAATTGTTTTTATTGTATGTGTATGAGTGTATTGCCTGCATGTGTCATGCACTGCCCTGGGAGGTCAGAAGATGGCATTGGGTCCCCTGAACTGGAGTTAGGGACTGTTGTCAGCTGCCATGTGGGTTCTGGGAATTAAAACCCAGGTCCTCTGCAAGAGAACCAATGTTCTTAACTGCTAAGCCATATTTCCAGTTCCTTGCTTTTATTATTTTTTAACTATGTGTAAATGTGTGTGGGCATGTGCAGATGCATGAAGGTGCCTGCAGAGGCCAGAGGCATCAGCTCTCCCAGGAGCTGGAGTGACAGGCCATTCTGTTAACAGTCAGCCACCTGACATTGGGTGCTGGGAGCCCAACTCACATACTCTGGCAGAGCAATGCATGCTCTTGACCACTGAGTCATCTCTCCAGCCCCTCTGCTTGTACCTTATGTCCAGATGATCTGAAGCAAGGAAATGTAGCTAGTTTTCTGAGCACCCAACTCTGATATGAATCAGAATGACAGGGATTATGGAACACACTGGAAGAGCTTGCTCTAGTGTAATTTAGAAATCAAAGTTCCAGTGTGATGCTCTTCGACCGGCCTGCTTCCCAACCCCCCAGCTTTTTTCCCTACTGTTCACAATGGGTACACTAGGAGCCCATTGTTGCTGCCAGTTTGGTAGGGGAGGATCACCACTTCTCCCCAGTCCCTTGTGAATTGGACCATTAAACACTGCTGTAGTAAGTTTTAGCTCATTGACTTTTTTTTTGAGACAGGGTCTCCCTCTAGCCCAGGCTAGCCGCAAACATATTGCTCTACTACTGCCTCAGTCTCCTGAGTACTGGGAATACAGGTATGAGCCTTCAGGCCCAACTAAATGTTAGTTCTTTAAAATCAGGATTTATTAGTACAATTATTCTGACTACAAAGCCATTGTAATGAGTTTTATATACTTGAGGGTTTTGTGTTTGTCATTGAAGATTGTTTTTAGGTTTTACGAAGAAAGGAATAGATAAGGCACAGTGTGGAAAATAAAAAGGAGCTTAAGGTCTGACATGGTCCCCAAAACTGTCCTATGACCTTCATACACACACAACAATACATTATATATATATATTTTTCTTTTGAGATAGGGTCTTACCATGTAACTCTGGTTAGTTTGGCACTAACTGGACCTATATATTTATATATATATTTATATCTAATATAAATATATATATATATTTTGGTCTTTTTGAAGCAGGGTCTCTCTGTAGCCCCAGCTGTCCTGGAACTCACTTGTAGACCAGGCCGGCCTTGAACTCACAGAGATCTGCCTGCCTCTGCCTCCCAAGTTCTGGGATTAAAGGTGTGTACCACCACACCCGGCATTTGGTCTTTTTGAGACAGGGTCTCCCTGCCTGGAACTAGCTATGTAGACCAGGGGTTGGCCTTGAACTCACAGAGATCCAGCTGCCTCTGCCTCCCGAGTGCTGGGATTAAAGGCATATGCCACCATGCCTGGCTGACATATTTTTTTAAAAAAACTTTAGTATATTTTAGATAGTGAGATGGCTCAATGGGTAAAAGTGCTTTCTTAAACTGTCAAGCCTGATGAACCAAGTTTGGTCTCTGATTCCTAGAACTCACATGGTGGAAAGAGAAAAACCAACTTCTAACACATTTTGTCCTCTGCCTTCCACATGCATGTCATGGCATGTATGTGCTGACATACAAAATGAGTACCTTTTTTTGTTAGTTTGTTTTAATTTTTATTTTCTGTGTGAGTGTATTGCCTGCATATATGTAAGTGCACCTGTGTCATGCAGTGCCCACGGAGGTCAGAAGAGGGCGTTGGGTCCCCTGGAATTGGAGTTAGGGATGGTTGTTAGCCCCCATGTGGGTGCTGGGAACTGAACCCAGGTCCTCTGCAAGAGCAGCCAATGATCTTAATCACCATCTCTCCAGCCCATTTTCTTTTTTTGAGGCAAGGATCTCACTGTGTGGCACTGACTGGACTGGAACCCACTTGTATAGAGCAGCCTCTGATGCCTAAAGATTAAATGTGTGCATCACCACACCCAGTAATTAATTTTTGTTTGTTTTGTTTTGAGATTGGGTCTCACTAAATAGTTGGGCTGGTCTAGAACTCCCTATATAGACAGGAAAGCTTTGAACTCAGAGTTTCTTCTACCTCTGCCTCTTGAGTACTGGGATTAAAAGTGTGTGCCATCATGCCTAGCCTTAAAAACTAGTGTTTTAAAAGGTTTCTAAAATGAAACCTAAATTGTAAAGATTGTGTCTTTGTTTTCAAAAGTTTTTTTTTTTGTTGTTGTCACTATCAAGAAACTGATTAAACTGGGGCCAGGTGTCCTTCCACATGTCTTTAATCCCAACACTCAGGAGGCAGAAGCAGGAGGATAACTGTGAGTTCCAGGCCAGCCTGGGCTACATAGTGAGTAACTGTCTCAAAAAACCCCAAAGCAACAACAACAACAACCTGACTAAATGGAGCATTTTGTCTGATAAATTATTTGCCTCTCTTTTTGAGACAAAGTCTCTTGTAGTCCAGGGTGGCCTGAAAGCCCTGATCCTCCTGCCTTCCCCTTCCAGGTGCTGGGATTACAGGTGTGCTTCCTTCTTGCCCAAGTATTACTGTTTTGGGGCAACATTTTTCTGGTATTTATTTGAGCTGTCAGTGGTGGTGCTGGAGATCAGTGGAACTTCCTCTTGAGAAAGATAGTGTCTGGGTCCTAAGTGGGTAAATAGTAAGATGCAAAGTAAACCCACTATCCAAAAGCCAAACGGGCTAGGATGCAGCTCAGTTGTAGAGCAGTTGCCTAGCACGAATGAGGCTCTGGCATCCTCAGCATCGGAAAAGCTAAATTGAATGTTTTATAGAAGAATATAATTTCCTATCAGTGTATAGACTGCTGGCCTCAAAGAATTTGTTGGAATTGAGCGGCCTGTAATTCTAGTGCTTGGAAGGCTGAGGTAGTAAGAGAATCACTGTTAGTTTGAGACTAGCCTGGGCTACTGAGTGAGCCCTTGTCTCAAAAAAAAAAAAAAAAAATGCCCAAACAATAGCAATAAACAAATAAACCTGGGTTTCTAGTGAGGTATGGTGGTGGAAGCCTGTAGTCCCAGCCACCACGGACTGCAGTGAGTGTCAAATTCCACAGTGAAACTGGCGTTTGACAGTCTGGTTTATTCCAACTTTTCCCGCAAAGTTGTGTCTGACCCATGATCGTTCTTTCCTTTTATCTTGAAGGACAGAGTTTGGCAAGATACCTTACTGTGTTTAATTACTTTTCTAGCTAGAATTATGTCAAAACTAGAGCTCCCTTGCTGCAAATTAAGCTTTTTTGTTTGTTTTCTGTGTCCTCCTTGGGGATGAAGACTGCTTAGGAAGGTGCTTAGAGGTCAGAGAGAGACTAGAGAGGTAATGCAGTGAGTGCTTAAGAGTGGTGCTTGAGCTGGTGTGGTGGTGCACGCCTGTAGTCCCAGCACTTGGGAGGCAGAGGCAGGCGGATCTTTGTGAGTTTGAGGACAGCTGGGGCTACAGGGAGACACTGTCTCAAAAAGACAAAGAGTGCTGCTTTTCCAGAGGACCAGTTTGGTCCCAGCATCCCCAGCTCAAGGGGATGTGACGCTCTTTTCTGGCCTCTGAGGGCACCCTGCACACAGCAACACACATTCACACATATAAAAATATTAAAAAGAGGTCAGAGTGCTGATGTTAAATCAGATCACTAAGCTGAGTGTGGGCACATGCCTTCAATCCCAGCACTGGGGAGGCAGAGGCAGGTGGATCTCTGTGAGTTCAAGGTCAGCCTGGTCTAC